GTTAGTCATCCCTTCCTGCTTACTATTGTGTTTTTGGTAATTCAAAATTCAGAGAACTATTTTCACTAAACATCTCCCCAATTTGTAACTTATGACATAACAGTTCAACAAAACACTAACCCATGACGATCTAGGCACCAGAGCTTGACCCGAAACGCCAGGCATTGACGACAAACGGAATCCGGCAGTTAGGATCACGGAGTCTGGTGATGTCTCGCTTGCGTAGAGCGATGCTCAAAGTGTCAGTCACTGGATTGTCTGGTCCACACGCGACCATTCACATATTACCGTCATACAGCAGTCGTATCGCTGAATAGGACGTTAAACCAAGACCTACATATATACTATGTGCCTGTACCGTCTATACTCACCTTGTGTTTATCCACAGAACGCACGACGTTGCAAGCATTGCCCACGTCGTCTCTACCGCCAACAACCACCATCGAAGTTGAACCAACAGAATTAGAAGGTCAGTCTTATACATAATTATACACACGCCCTAAACTCTGGAAAGGAAACACAGTTGGAATATCTCAATTATATCACGACACAATACACATAATCTAGTGCGCTTCCAAATTGCAAGTTTCAACCGTTTCAAATTTAAAAAATCCACGCTTTCCGTTAACTTTTCGAATACAAAATACATGTATAGAATCAACGTTTTAAAAACGAATAAGTTTCCCATGATTTAATATCGTAGTTAGAACAATCCGTAAGTAGGATTCTTGATGGAATATGACATTGTTTTAACACTTCAGTTCATTGTAAAACAAACAAATCACCGATATCATATACAATCATGTAGATCAGGATCAATAGAAAGAATGGCTGGACAATTGCAGTTTTGGTTCATCTATTAGGTCGTACTTGGATTCATTCCACACTTCAGCAATGATATATAACCGTATTATTTGTTATAGAACCATTAAAGCACATTTAAACTACATTAGGTTACTAGAATATGTACAATAGTTGAACGTCAATGACATTGAAAGTATAACAATTATGGGCAAGGGGTTGAATGTGCGTCATTCTTAGCACAGATAACATACGGCTAGCCTGAATTTGAACAATAACAGAATAACAATGGTATTGAAAGTATGACAATTATTGGCAAAGGGGTTGACTGTGCATCATGCATTACATGTGTGTTATAATTATTTTAACCATCCCCGCCGGGCTATCTGGGTACCAAATTGCTGTGCACTTGGCTCAGGTTACTATGATAAATGAAGTTAATTCCTACATTTAGAAACGTCCGATATGTTACCATTATAGTCTACTGCTTCAGACAGATAAACACTGGATATGGGTGGCTCCGCTATGGGTGAAATACCAGTTTGTAACGCCTAACTGTAACAATGCAGATAAGGCCATCTGTGTATGTTTTGCGGCTCTGATCTCTAACCTCAACCAGCAACAGGGCGTCGGGCAACAAGAAATAACATAACCAAAATGGGTTTTCTATTTTCTTGTAATTGATGTAATGGAAATGTTAAATGTAGATTATCTGGAAATAGACTGTGAATTAATTCCTGATGTAGATCGAAGCCCTTTGCTACCGAAACAATTATCAAAAATAAAAAGATGAATGATCAAGCTGACCTATTTTGTATGGGTGTGAAGGGTAAGAGTATTTCTGTATCATAAATTTAATCATTTGCAAGAAAAATAATATTATTATTTCGCGTCTGACTGAAAACACATGGCGCCCGGAAGACGGGAAACACAGAAAACACACGGCTAGCCTGACATGATATATTGACGACCGCTCAGCATGCATTTGCTGACTCGACTTTCTTTATAAACAACGTTAATGATTACATGACAAGACAAATTTATTGCGTTATTTATAAATTGCAAGGGATTCCATGACATTTGATCGTTAATCGAGTAATTTGTCTTGCATTCCATAAACGGAAACATAAGCTGGAAATACCGGAATATGTTTGGGATGGGCTTGGGTTGCATGGCCGCGCTGCACTTTACTCATTTCGTATTATTGTCTATAGTTTTTTGCATGTAAATCATCAGATAACCGTGACAGTCTTTAATGTTGCTATTGTTGACAGCCTGCTAAGGTTATACTGTGAGTGTTTCCTGGGCTGATATCATGAAGATTGATTGCATCCGATTCATTTATGGTCATTATACCATTAAATACACCATTTATTTAGAAGTGAAGCCTTTTGAAAAGAACGTCGTCTTTATGATAATGAAAATATTTACAAATACAAAAGTTTAATCTGCACAAGAAAACTGTCAGGATTGAAGAATCTGTCGAAAAATTTGTATATTGTTTTTGAAAAGTCAAAATGACCTGTATTACTGATATCACCATCTTGTCTGCCGATAATACTGATATCACCATCTTGTCTGCCGATATTACTGATATCACCATCTTGTCTGTCGATATTACTGATATCACCATCTTGTCTGTCGATATAACTGATATCACCATCTTGTCTGACGATGTTACTGATATCACCATCTTGTCTGTCGATATTACTGATATCACCATCTTGTCTGTCGATATTACTGATATCACCATTTTGTCTGTCGATGTTACTGATATCACCATCTTGTCTGTCGATATTACTGATATCACCATCTTGTCTGTCGATATTACTGATATCACCATCTTGTCTGTCGATATTACTGATATCACCATCTTGTCTGTCGATATTACTGTTATCACCATCTTGTCTGTCGATATTACTGATATCACCATCTTGTCTGTCGATGTAATATATGTATAATGGTATTCTCTTGTAGCACCGTTGGTGGGGTTTTAAATATAAACTTTGACTGATTAATATCTGGGGATCGGGATGGGTGGAGGAGGGACAGGCTCATTATTCTGAAGGCAGTACATGTAGTTGTTTTCGTTTCGAAACCTGTCCTTATGCTGTCGAAGCCCAGATTCGACCCAGTCTGTGTCTGAGTGAGCATCCTGGTTTGCGCTCAGGTTTCACCAAAGTCAACTATAAGGCTGCATCATGTCGATGCGGCTGACAGGCCATCAAGATGCCGCTCAAAACGGAGTTGAACCAAACTCACATACTCAGTCATGATGTTCCAAGACTATGGAGACTATAAATGTGATGACATTTGACTAGAGTGAGTGTATTGATAGATCGTAAATAGCATCAGTAAGCTTGTACAGAGTGATATGTATTCATCCTTTGCCATAGATATAGTCACGACACCCGCAGCAACTTCCACAACTACACCCCCAACTGTAGCAGACGCAGAAGAGGCTGGAAGAGCAGACGGAGGTTAGTTAGTTCGTTAATCATTCTCACACAATATAAGTACAGTGAAACGAAACCAGTTTGCATTATTGGAAAGGACATGATAAAAGCTTGATATTCTCTCTTGTTGTTCAATACATATAACTATGTTTGGAAGCAGGGCTTCCTATTATGTTTCATTCATCTATGTTGTTCTCCCAGTTCCTGTCAGTCCATTCACTATGACGGTCCCACGAGGTCACCAAAGCTTGTACAACCGGTTGCTAGGCATGGTCAACATGCTGTCAATGAGACGAGAAGGGTTATCTAATGGCCATCCTGGTGTACACAGAGGTCAGTTCTGCGTAACACTGTTGTATTCCATCAAAGTTTGATATGTATACACAGATGTGCTGCACATGTAGACGTGAAATATATCCATGTCAGTTCTGTGTATACACTCGAAGTCGTTTCAGGTGTTTGATTCTAATAACATACATCAAAACCAACTGGATTGACATTAAGTACACCGAGATCCAATCTGTATACACACACAATGTACATCCAGTCAGGTCTGTATGCACACACAAATTACAAACAGTCAGGTCAGTATGTACACACAAAGTACACCCAGTCAGCTCTGAATACATACACAATGTACACCCAGTCAGCTCTGAATACATACACAATGTACACCCAGTCAGCTCTGAATACATACACAATGTACACCCAGTCAGCTCTGTATACATACACGATGTGCATCCAGTCTGTATAAACATAACTATACATCCAGGTCCGTTCTGTATACACAAACTGCTACCATGGTAAAACTATAACCTAAACTTAAATTGTAACTATCACACTCATTTTCATTAAATTTTAACATATTTTTATATCACAGACACAGACACAACTCCATGTCCGACGACGACAACAACGACGACGACGACGACTACTACAACAACAACAACAACAACGACAGAAGAGCCACAAGAAGCCGAGGATGGTTAGTTTTGCTGTAGTTCATTAACACATATTCTCGGAATGATTAAGACTGACAACGTCTAATTGTTTGTTTAACCGAGAACTCCGCTTAATATCAGCTATATGGCAATAACCAGTACACAAAAAGTGGGAATCAAATGAATTATAATGAGGTAACTGTTTGTAAATACCATTGTCCCATATCAATGTTTCGTTAATCAGACCGATGTAACAGAAAATACTTAATTGATCAGCCCATAAAGGCTTGTGCTCGGACCAGCGAGAACGTCCGTTTTCCAATATATGCTCAACATGATCCCAAGGCAGGACACATACTCGCCTATATTGTAATATCTTTCTATACCTGCGCTTAATAGGATTGTGGTATACATTCGAATTCATACAGGTGACATATCCGTTGAGATTGACATCCCATGATAGAGAGAAAAATATACAAGCGCTTTGAGCATGCACTAGTGCGTGGATATGTGCGCTATATAAATATCCAATAATAACATGAATATCTACACACGGGTGCCTACTGACATCTATACACGGGTGCCTACTGGCATCTATACGGGGGTGCCTACTGGCATCTACACACGGGTGCCTACTGGCATCTATACACGGGTGCCTACTGACAGCATGGGCAAATACAGTGTTCGTGAGAGCAACATCAGTATGATTGTGACAAGTATGTACTATGTTGTCACAGCTATGGTTGCACGGCGAGGAAAGTGGCTAAGGCTATATTCTTGTTGTAGTGTTGACATCCACGACAATTACTCCAGTGACGACGGGAGGCGTGTACAGTAGGCTGATGCATGTGTTCAAGATGCTGTCGGCCAGAAACAGAAACATCCAGGGTCAGTTGATTACACTTTTATCAACAGTATTAGTGTTCATACTGAATGCAGTAATGGTCTTGTTACCTTCACGTCTTCACTGCTCCCGAGGTGCTGTGTCTGCGTACACGGGGATCGAGTGAGTGAGTGACTTTAGCTTTACGCCGCTTTTTGCAATATTCCAGCAATATCACGGCAGGGGACACCAGAAATGGGCTTCACACATTGTACCCATGTGGGCAATCGAACCCGGGTATTCGGCGTGCGGACGCTTCAACCATTAGGCTACCCCATGGCCCAGGGGTCATACTACCAGGCGTCATAATTCAACATTGAAACACATGATGCTCATTGTTACCTCTCCTGGAAGGTCTGCCTGGAGTCAAGGAGTTCTCCTCCAGGGGCTCATTGAAACACATGAGTCAGTATAATGCTCGGAGTCAGGATATCTCAGTGCAATGTTGCCTTTAATATGGCATTCATCTGGACTGGTGTCGGAAGTCCTAAATGATATAACCTGCTATCGTTGCGTTATACCAGTTATCTAAGCGTGGCATCAACAAACGGTGCTAATAAATGTTGTTTATCAAAATTTATAAATAACAATACAGCAAGTCGATTAATTTCGTCTTGCATCAAATGAATATATATTTATATGTAACCTGTAACTTAAACATATCATTACTAAAATCACCAGCTGCTACAACAAGAACAGCAACATCGGGAACAACGACAACAACAACAACGGAAGAGCCAGCGGAAGAGGAGGAATCGGAGGAGGGTAAGAGAGAAGAATTCAATATCCATAGGAATCTATTATGTGTCTTGTCTCGGTGTATATCTGCAGTCACCACGTCACATACTCGATATTCCTACTTGTCAAGGAGTGAGTGAGTGAGTGAGCGTGGTTTACGCCGCTTTTAGCAATAGTACAGCACGGCGGGGACACCAGAAATACAGGGGAATCGAACCCGGGTCTTCGGCGTGACGAGCGGACGCCTTAATCACTAGACTACCCCAACGCTGTAATGATACAGTTACAATGCTGTATGGAATATGACCACGAAAGTAACTGAAGAGAAGTACGTCTAACTGAAAAGAAAATACATCTAACCGGTAACTGAAAAGATATTTAATAGCAGGCAATAACATCGAATGGTTGATAGCATGACAACTTACCACTTTGCACATTACAATCATGTGAGTCAGACAAGTTATCAAAATAATCTTTACTTCATCCCTTTTATTTTGCAGCTGGCGGTTCCCAGGATTATGGTAAGTGTTAGGATTTATTTAATATGTTTCCTAGTATTCCTATGATTTGTTAGATTGGGCTATCGGATGAAACATGAAACTTCTTTATTTGAACCACATTACCGTAGATTTAACCTGGACAAGAAATCCTCTTTATCATTTGGTTGGATAAACAATATTCCAAATTGCCAAATGAAACAATCTCAATAAAGTTCGGAACAAGGAAACCCGATTCAATTATCTGAACCGGTTATAATGTACGGAAACAGCGTACTTCATAGACCAAGGGAGATAACTCCATATGACATAGACAATTTATGAAAAGCAGTTTGGACCAAACTGTTCTCCATGCATTGCGACTACTTCAGGTATTATTACTGTGACATCTATATCCATTACTATTACTACTACGTCAACAACCGTTATTACTACTTCACCAGTTAAAAAAGTTAGCATTACATCATCTTCATCAGCTTTCATTACAACAACATTTATATTTTCACTTCACCTGTTGTAGTTCTACTACAGCATCCAATGATGTGACGACAAATGCATCAGTTGCTATAACAACCAGGTCAACAATAATTACCATTACTTTCACTTCATCAATTACTATAACTACATTAACCTATAATTCATCAACCGCTTGTACTACTTCGTCATTTTTTATTACTGATTCATTGTGTATTATTGCCACGACGTCATCAGTTACTGAATCTGCTAAATGATCAACCCTATCACCACACATATCGTCGTGTTTCTACTACATCATGAATCACTATGACTACTACTCCACATGTTGCTAATCAATTACTTGTACTATAGTCAACTTCATAAGCCACTATTTCATCAGTGTCTCTTTCATCAACTACTTCATCAACCACCACTCACCACCACTCACTTCACCACTCCACCACCACTCACTCACCACCACCACTCTCACCACCACCACCACTCACACTCACCTCACACTCACTCACCACCACTCACTCACTCCACACCACCACCACCACTCACTCACTCACCACCACCACTCACCACCACTCACTCACCACCACACTCACTCACCACCACCACCACCACTCACCACCACCACCACCACCACCACCACCACCACCACCACCACCACCACCACACCACCACCACTCACTCACTCACTCACCACTCACCACCACCACCACCACCACCACTCACTCACCACTCACCACCACTCACTCACACACCACCACTCACCACCACCACCACCACCACCACTCACCACCACCACCACCACCACCACCACCACCACCACTCACTCACTCACCACCACCACCACCACCACTCACCACTCACCACCACCACCACTCACCACTCACCACCACCACCACCTCCACCACCACTCACTCACCACCACCACCACCACCACCACCACCACTCACCACCACCACCACTCACCACCACTCACCACCCACCACCACTACCACCCTTACCACTCACCACCACCACCACCACCACTCACCACCACCACTCACCACCACCACCACCACCACTACCACTACCACCACACTACCACCACCACCACTACCACCACTACTACCACCACTACTACTACTACCACTCTACCACTACTACTACTACTACCACCACTTCTTACTACTACTACTACTACTACTACTACTACTACTACTACTACTACTACTACTACTACTACTTCTACTACTACTACTACTACTACTACTACTACTACTACTACTACTACTACTACTACTACTTCTACTACGACTACTAATACTACTACTACTACTACTACTACTCTACTACTACTGGTGCTGGTGCTGGTGCTACTACTAGTACGTATTGCCATAAGTACTAAACTCCATAATTCCTAACACAACATCTATGAACATGTTTTCCAAGAGTCTTATGGATGGGGCCACACGTTTACACCATTGCTTAAGGTCTAGCTATAACAGTCTTAAACACTTGTCTGTATGTTCCAGAATACGAATATTGATCCTCTCTGAAGATACTTGGCCAACAGAGGATTATATTTGACGAGGTCAACAAAGTCAGTGCTACAATGGTCACATTTGATGGTCCATTGGTATTTGTGATCAGATGCAAGGATGATGTTCCGAGGACAAAGCGTTTTGTCTCATGAACATACATTCATTTTGTTTAAAAATGTTTTGTTAAATGGATAAGAGCCTCGTTCTTACACATTAGAACACATCCCTCTGTAATCAAAATGCAATTACTCGGTAAAACATTACGAAAACAAAAGCTGACAGTAAATCGAAATCAAACCGTTTGTTGTTATTGTCAAGTGCTGCTCTAATAGTAGTTCACTGTTTTTGTGGGCAGATCAGAAATGCCCTTTTGGAGAATCGGTAAAGTTATCACCGCTCTTCGATCATCAATGTCGTGAATAGGTATGGACAACATATATGTAAATAGTAGCACGGACGTTAGTGCGAATTTCCACAAGCACACTACGGTTTTAAGAAATAACGTGCATAAGTTATAATTTAGTCTATTACATGCATAAGTCTCGTACATAATCATAATACTTATTAATTTATTTACATCATTGCTATGTATTTTTCATGGCACAACAGGCAAATGTCACTGTGTATGCATACGAGACACTTGATATGCAATTTATATACGTATTTTTGAAGACAATTGTTTGATTGTGTAGTCATAATTTATTAATTGTAATTGTATTTACATGACGTTTGACGTTCGTGTTTGTGAGCGCGTGTATCAAGCTTTAATAAACTGTTGACAAACTACATTGTTTTTGATTTTTCTTTATTCTCGAAAAGGAAGAATGGAAAGCATTTCCAGAATGTTGCAGGAGAGTATTTTTGTTTTGTTTTGAAAGTCAAAACCATTTAATCAAAATGAACACAAAATGAGCCCACGAGACATACAAAGGGACATAACTCCAATACGTTCTTCGCCGTTCTTACATTTTCCTCTATAGTCTTAAATGACTCAGATAAGCAAATAATGCAGAAAAAAAGTAATGTTTACCTATAGCCAGTCTTATTGATACGAGGAGGTGGAGGAATGTCCACAGAAATCAAAATGGTGATATGTACTTGCCTAATCCCCTGCCCCTGCCGATGCTTGAAGAGAAACTGAAACAGACACATAAACATGCTTGTCACTAGTGCCTCTGTTGAGATGCTTGTCTGCATGTGTGGCATATTAAATGGTACACGATCTTGGAGGTTTCTCTATATAATACAAAGTGTCTGTTGAAGCTGAAGTAGGTAATGGTCACATGCGTCTACATGTAAACCAGCAATGACTGTTGAAGCTGTGGAAGTAATGTTGTGTATGCAAACACTACCGATTTTCAGACACTGTCTTTACCAACCTCTCCATGCCCCATCCTCCCAACCCTCTGCTTCTTAGCTCGAGAAAAGTAAGGAGTGTACTTATACGTTCCTGGGTATATGCTCATAGCTAGTGCTGGTCTGTAGGTATGTGATCTCATGATATTTATGGATGTTATAAGGTTTACCATTTATCGCAACAATAAATATATACAGAAAGTAACATGATTTACAGAGTCAAGCATAAACCTGAGGAGACTGCAAACTGACCACAGATTGTCTCTCTGTTCCAGTATAGCAATCTTGTTCTTTGTCATTTGATGAGCGATCATCACACAAAGGCATCCATCACGAAAACAATGAAACACGTTTCTTTGTAGTACATTGATGCATTCGATAGTACTTGGAGATAGACCAGTTTTGAAACAGTCCAGTGACAACTGACAGAATAAAGTCGCGATATTCTTGTGGATTTGAGTTTAGAGCTGGTCATCAGCAGCCTAGTTTCTGAAAATGCTTGATGTATCAGCTGACAAATCTAGTTGATTTGGTCGATTGTGTGTCAGCGCAACTCGTCAACAAGCAACAGTCGCCACAATAGCAGTCACTGATTTGTTTGCTCGACTCGACAATTTACAGTTCTGCTAGCGACGTAAAACGAAAAATTACCGTATAAAAACAAACCAAGAAATGCACGACAAAAAGGCAACCAACGTTGAATGTAATTTTTACGTTAAAATGGTGATGTGGTGATATACGGTCGCTGGGTGTGTGAGTGTGTGTTTGTGTGTCTGTGTGTGTTTTACGAGAGTGACACTAGGTAGTATTTGGTAGAAACACATGATGTGAGGCACATCATACAGACGATCATTAAAAACCCAACACATGACCATCAGCATGTCCAGCAAACGTGATATATATTAAGGATAATTCATGAGGGCGAATAATCTCTTTTTTTCGATTTGGGGGCAACATGCCTTGTCGATTTCACTTTAGTGAGTGAGATAGAATTTAACGTCACATCGACACTGTTTCAGCCATCTAGCGACGAGACCAAGTTTACACATCAACACAAACCCATAATTTCACAAATGTACACTCAAAAGCAAGTTTTCATATACGCATTTTATTTCACTGTAAACCTACTCTGATAGACTCATCGCACAGGTCGTTGACCGTTTATGGGAATACATCAAGAATGTGTCCACCTGACATCCATTGCAAATATCACACAGCTGAAACTATATTTCAACACACAGAAGAACGGTGAGCCCAGTTGACAATGTACAGGTAACCCTACAAGACACCTGCCCACTTGCTCAGTGTTCGGTTACTGCATGCTTCATATATAAAATCATCAACTCCTGTTCAAAACGTTTAATGGTTTGTCAAACCACGGCAATTATGTCTAATGGAATCTGTGTCGAAATTCGACAATAATTCTTCTCTATCATAGTTTCAAATTAATATTTAATAAATACTTGATTTTTATCGCGTTAGTGTGTATAAGAACTGAACACAATACACCACGTCTACCAACGGCCTCAGCTAGATCATAATAGAATGGGCATGGCTTTATTGTATTATTGCATTGATAGCACTGATTTCGTATTGTTGTAAACAACATTTTTGTGTTTGAATAATTTAAACATTGACATGAGCAGTTTGGAAAGTTATTTTTTAAAATTTTTATGTACACTGACCACAATTTGTTAGTACTTAAAGGTCGGTGCCTCACGTCCCCTAGTATACATCCCTTAAGCTGATTTAATGTGCCTATGTCAATCCTTGAATATATGACTCGTTCTATCTATCTACTTGAAGAATTCGTGGGTTTAGATTTCAGTTAAGATGGCGTTAAATGGTAAAGCAAATTGCCCTTTTATGTTCACCTAAAGAATATTATTTCACACAGAATGAACAGATGAAAGGAACCTTACGTGATTAATGTCTGGTATCAACCACAAAGATCAAAGATCAGAAATGGACGCGAATCGCTCGTCCGGCGTTAAAGACAAACGGGCAAAACATATCCAGCGTTTAGCATACATGACTGAACATATACAGCTTTGCATACCACAAAACAGACGATGTACAGCCTTGCATACCACAAACAAACAGAACACATCAAGCGTTGCATACCACAAAACAGAATGTGTGAAGCGTTGGATACCACAAAACAGAAGATCTATAGCATTGCATAACACAAAATAGAAGATATACAGCGTTGCATACCACAAAACAGAAGATGTACAGCGTTGCATACCACAAAACAGAAGATGTATAGCGTTGCATACCACAAAACAGAAGATGTATAGCGTTGCATACCACAAAACAGAAGATGCATACCACAAAAACAGAAAAGCGTTGCATACCACAACAACAGAAGATGTACAGCGTTGCATACCACAAAACAGAAGATGTATAGCGTTGCATACCACAAAACAGAAGATGTATAGCGTTGCATACCACAAAACAGAAGATGTATAGCGTTGCATACCACAAACAGAAGATGTATAGCGTTGCATACCACAAACAGAAGATGTACAGCGTTGCATACCACAAAACAGAAGATGTACAGCGTTGCATACCACAAAACAGAAGATTGCAGCGGTGCATACTATACTGTGTATCGCAGACAAGCGGGCGACCACAAGTTACAAAAGAATGCCTAGAGCAGCAACTGAATCATTCTTTGTATCAGATAGCATTTGTGCACTACATTGATTTTTTTAATGTTTATCCTTAATAAATGAAGTCTGTGCTGTTTCAATGCCTTTGAACAATTAGGTGCTTTCATTTTAGCAAGGAATGACAAACACGCTCCTCCAAAATTGTTTGACTGGAGGGAGGATTATAACTTTAATACACTCACGTTTTGCTTTATGTCGAACAGCATGCCCACAGTTTCAGCTTTCTTCGGATATTCGACTCAAAATATGCTTACATCATCCAAGGCCTTCAAACGGTTTTATGGCAGACGAATCCAAATCTGACGAATCAGTGCAACAAATAAAGTCCGAGGAAATTCACCAATAGGACACGCAGGTTTTCGTGCTTCCCACCAGGTGAACAATTGACTTACTTTTGCATGTGTCTATGATGGGTGCCAGCAGGATGCAGGATACGTTCACTTTTTCTCGAACCCATTGTATCGTCACTATTCGATGGTGAAGATATCTCATGTAATAGTCGGAATTTTCAAATGTTTTACTACACATTTGTTATGATTATGGTGAACGTGTTTTTATTATTGGTTATAAACCGAGAACATTCAAACCATCCTGTATCGACCCTTGTCATACGCACATTCAGGTACTCGCTGGGATGTTGGTCTCGCTAATCGATGTCGTTGGGTTCCTCTGTGTCACCGTGAAAAGGTGAAGATGCGAACCAGAACATGGTTCTCGTGAAGACATGTAGAAAAATCTGTAAAATAGATCCACCTCTGCTGATCCAATTGGAACTCTCTTCGTGATTTGTCTGAATAAATATGGAATGTCAATAACTTACCGTTTTGATTTATGCAGACCATCATATGTGTACTGGCAATCGCGTAATAGTTAATGATCATTATGTCTCCAGCCCAACCTTTTTCTGTTTTACGATGCCTTTCTTCATTTCTTTTTATTTGTCACTTATCGAAGGGGCACGTATTAAGCCTGAGGCGATGCATGCACATTAGGTACCAGTATCTGTACATCATGTCGACATTCAATTGATCACAATACAATATACTTATTTGAACTATTCATAACTGTCATCCGATGATCCACGGTGAGGTATCACGGATGGAAACAGACGAGAGGCCATGATGGTCTCCATTTATGGCATATGTCGTAAAGTATTATTATATTATCCTTGATAAATCACCCAAGACACATTACACTGATACAGTAATAACAACTCTGTTATACTCTCACTGAAGTTCGTCACGAAGCAACATTTTTATGGTGATCTGTATTGCCCCAGGAAATAACACGCACCTTACCTGAAAAAACCCTATGACGTTCCCTCCAATACTAAACCCTGGTTGGATAGTCTTTTATGTGATGAACGACTTCAAATTGCCACCGAACTACCATAGGCAGTGCGTGTTGCTTCCACAGACAGGACTGTGAATGTGTTTATCGTTGAGAGGTCGACAAGATATATAAGGTATATTATATTTTTGTGCAATATTAGATAACATAAAGCTGTTGTAACTGTGAAGCAAGTTTAACCCTTTAATTTAATTCCGATTATTTAGGAACCATCTACCATAAGAACTTTGATACTGGAATACAAGTCCTTTGGAAGTTAGTCTTATTTTATCGATACGAACAAGTATGTTACAGAAGGTTACGACATCAGTTACCAAATATTATATATTGAATTAGGAATCATTTTGTAGTGGGTACCCTAGTTGAGATTCTGATGGAGTTACTCATTTTTTGGAATATTGATCAGAATTATATTACAAATTGTATTTGCCAACATATACATGTATTGACTTCAAATGTTTGCTTCTAATTATCGATGGTCACTAAACAAAATGATGGTTGAGTCCTCGGATATTATTATCTGATATATTGTGAGATTCAACTGTTATACAAAATATAAAGAGAAGGGTAGTACCTTTCTCCAACATAATAAATGTCATACATTTTAAAGGTATATGATGACCAATGCAATGTGATGGCCGTTCTCAGTGGTTTCTAGAATATACCAATACGAGTCAATCCTCAACGAAAGAAGGTTGGACTCACATGAATAATTGTGTTTAAACATTTAAACATTTCTAACAACATTATATACTGGCTATTTCGTTGAACGTGAATGACGACCATAGTAGTTCCAGAAGTAAAGACATTTCTGTATCTCGGTTTCGTCACACAGCTGTCATGGCCGGTCATTCAGCATGTGTGTGCCTTGCCCTCCTTTCCGTTGTGTGGACGTCTACGGCGATGTATTTTGGACCGAAATTCCAACCAGGATATCAACAACTTCAACAGCCTGGTTTTCGTCCACAAACAGGTACCCTCGACATTACCGTGAAGCATTGGTTGCCCATTGATATATCAGCCGGGTTACGACCATTATGTCAACAGTATGACACAACCGAAGACTGGCCGGGATGTAATCTGGCATCTGTGTTTCTAGTTACTACTTAAATAGGAGACATCTATGGCTCCTGATTTGGGAAATAGTATAGGACTCCAGCTCGATCAAGGACATTGTAACCTCACTTTGGTGCCAATCAATATTTCAACGTTTACTGTCCTTTGTTGACATCAATATGATTTCTGAATAACAGTAGCTTTTTGCTGGAACAAACGTGCAGGTATTTTTTATTTTGCACTAATGGAGAGCCACAGAGTGGACGTAACTAGTGACACAGATGCGGCCATACATCACGGCCATGTCTGTTTTAAAATGATCTTCCTGCCTATCGGGTGGCCCCAATTGAAGTATCCTCTCGGATGTCTGTAAGCTATCTATACTGCAGACAAGACATGGGGTTACTGAAGAAACAACGGGATGAGTTTAGCCATAATTTTTATAAGGACCCCCACCATTGAGCAATGTTTCCCACATAAAGACTTGCAAATAATCAAGTCCAGACCCGACAATCCAGTGATTGGTGCTAAGAATGGTTTTTTTTCTTTCGTTGTTTCCTTAGACAAAACATAATTAAATAGCTATGAATTTTGTAATTGAAGGAAACTATCTCGTTCAACAACTATTTGAAGGATATGTTGGTCAAGCATAATTAATGAATAGCATAGAAAGTTTGCTTTGAGGACGTGTTCTTTTCTCACATGTGACTCCCTATGGATCAGCATTGTGGCACTGATGTTTGTGAAGTTAACGTCTGTACACCAATAAATCATTTATATTATTCTCCCGTGGAGAAACAATATTTTTCCAGTACCCCATATCTGGTCGTAACAAATGGATTAATTGGGAATCAATGGCAATATCAAAGAAACCTGTGCTGGTCGAAAAAGATGAGCGAATGGTTGGTAGATGGGTTGGTCAGGCTCGGGGAATTGTCAACGAATCGTAAAAGGAATCGTTGTCCATTATATGAAACATCTGATTCACACTTCACGTCAAATAGTTCACAGTGTGCATCATATGGCCTGGATGAGTGTAGATGTAAACAACAAAGAAAGAATGAAAAATGTGTCATTTCACATCCAGCTCTATATGTTATACATACATATATCTAGAGTAGAGGAGTGAATAAGAAATGTATTTTCCGATCAAGCTGAATAAAACGTTCCTATTTTTCAGAACTACGTGCACCGCCATCCTTGTCCGGACCTAGACTTACTCCAAAAGGAGGAATTGCTTATTATTCAAGACCTTCATCTCGACCTGTTGTTGGGGCACCTGTAGTAGGCATCCTCCCAGGAATTGGAAGGGGAACACTTGGAACTTTTCCTTCTGGAGGTGTTCCTGTTGGCTCTATAAGTAAAGGAGCCCTCGAGAGTGGAGCTTATTCAACTCTGCCTGCCATAGTAGTTCCACACGGAGCTGCATCTGGCCTGCAAAATCCCCCGATTGCCACTTATCCATCGAGAGCTGCTTCAGGAGCTGGTCTGGTCGGCACTTATCCAACTCGTGCTGCAGTGGCTGGTACTTCTCAGCCAGGGGTTGGCGTGGTCGGCACTTATCCTACGGGAATTGCTACAGGAGTTGGTCTTGCTAACACTTACCCAGGGAGCGCTGCTTCAGGAGCCGGTCTGGTCAACACGTATCCAACGAGTGCTGCTGCTTCAGGAGCTGGTCTGGTCGGTACTTATCCAACTCGTGCTGCTGTGGCTGGTACTTCTCAGCCAGGGGTTGGCGTGGCCGGCACTTATCCTACGGGAATTGCTACAGGAGTTGGTCTTGCTGACACTTACCCAGGGAGCGCTGCTTCAGGAGCCGGTCTGGTCAACACGTATCCAACGAGTGCTGCTGCTTCAGAAGCTGATCTGTTCGACACTTATCCAGCTCGTGCTGCATTGGCTGGTACTTCTCAGCCAGGGGTTGGCGTGGTCGGCACTTATCCTACGGGAATTGCTACAGGAGTTGGTCTTGCTGACACTTATCCAGGGAGCGCTGCTTCAGGAGCCGGTCTGGTCAACACGTATCCAACGAGTGCTGCTGCTTCAGGAGCTGGTCTGGTCGACACTTATCCAGCTGGTGCTGCAGTGGCTGGTACTTCTCAGCCAGGAGTTTGGGCGGCCGGCACTTATCCTACGGGAATTGCTACACTTCCTGACACGTATCCAACGGGTGGTGCTGTGGCCGGTACCTCTCCGACGGGACTTGTCCATTTTTCTGGACTCTCTACGACCGATCCAGCAAATTCTGTTGGAGTGTTCCCTATTGCAGCCAGCGCGAGTGGTGCTAACTCTCTCAGAAAAGCAGCAGAAACACGCTTGCCAACTATTGTAGATAATGTTGGTTTAGTTGAACCGGGACTGGCGTTGGGAAGTACAGAATCTTCAATAGGAGCGGGTGCGGATCTTGGCTTCGATGGATATCAGGGATCTTTAGATGTAAACACAAACGTTGGAAGAGCGGGAATTCGTACTCCAGATACCAGAGTCGGAAGTGTTGACACTGGAACAATAAACACTGCCACCGGTGGATCCACAGTTGGGGGAAGTTCCGGAAGAGCTACTCTAACGATTGAATTAGGTAGTACAGGGCCTGTGGGTGACGTTGCAGGCATCGATCAGTATGCTACGAACGCAGTTGCCTCCACAGGTACAGATCAGTATGCTGGTAGTGCAGTTGGAGCTACAGCTATAGATCAGCTTGGTGCAAATGCAGTTGGTTCTACTGGCACAGGTCAAGCGGAGGTGGTGTTACTAGCATAGAACAAATTGTAGCGGACGCAATAGCACAGAGTGGTGCTGGTGGCTATGATCTCGGACAGCTAGGTGCAAACGCAGTTGGCTCTCCTGGAGTAGATCTGTATGCGGGGAATACAGGTGCCTCTGCATCAGTGGATCAGTATGTTGCAAACACAGTTGGCGCTGCAGGCTCAGGTCAAGCTGGTGCAAGCGGGGGTGGCGTTACAAGCATAGGACACATTGTAGCAGACGCAATAGCTCAGAGTGGCGCTGGTGCCTATGATCCCAGGCAGACAGGTCAAGCAGGACAAACTGGTGCAGGTACGGGGATCGCGATCAGCGGCACAGGAGCGTCATCAACTGGAATAGGAACCATGGGTCAAGGTGGAATAACAGTGGGATTCCCCAGTACTGGAAACGCTGGAGGAGCAGTCGGTGTTGGACAGCTAGGAGAGGGTGGAATAACCATCTCAGATCCTCAATTCTTTAATGGCGGGACCCAAACAGGATCCTCCATTGGATCCATTGGCGGAATAGATTCATATGGGACCGAGTTGATTAATAGTGTTTTGAATGAAATGTTTGATGCACCAAGAGGATCAGCACAGTCACAACGAAATGGTTCTCCACAACCGGGTAATATAGCTGGAATTCAAGACGTTCCACTAGGCACAGGTACGGGGTCGAGCGCAGTCCCGATAGATAGAATCCTACAAGACAGTATCCAAGGTCCACAAGGGCTTGCGACAATGCAGGATCAATATATATCGTCAGCACAAGGACCAGATGTGTTACAGGGGCAGGCTTCGACGGGCCCAAACAGTTTAGGACAGGACCCACAAATGTATTCTGTTCCAAACGGAGGCAGTTCTCTCAGGATCCACATCGAGCCAGCATCTTCCAGGAGTGAACAGCATCCAAGACCCACAGATGTATCCTCTCAAAACCGGTTCCAACAATCAAGGCTACACGCAAGGCTCGTCTGCATCCACATCTATCCAAAATACGCAAATGGTAAATAATTTGGACCTTATCGGAATGAATGGTGTCCAAGACCCACCAATGTATCCCGTCGAAACAGGCCCCTTGAACCAAGGAAACACTCTGGCTCTCAGCGGTTCCACATCAAACCAAAATTCACAAATGTACAACACAATTGAGAGGACAGGAACAATCACTATTAAAGATCCCAAGCTGAACACCACGCCGGATATAGCATCACCCAGCTCTTTCCAGGATCAACCGATTGTCACTATTCAAAATCCACAAGATCAACAACTGTATAACAATCAAGGCACATACACAGCTGGAACATTCCTAGATGCACCTATGTTAAATACTCAGGATGTGAGCGTTTCCAATACTGCTCAAGGACCACCAATGCAAGATCTCAATGCAGTCTATGGCGCCAATCAGGGTATGACGTCATCGGGCAATATTCAAGATCTACAAATGCTCAACAACCTGGATATGAGCATGTCTAATACAGCTCAAGACCTACAGATGCTCAACAACCAGGGCGTGGGTGGATCCGGTATTGCTCAAGATCTGCAAATGCTCAACAACCAGGGCGTGGGTGGATCCGGTATTGCTCAGGATCTACAAATGCTCAACAACCAGGGCGTGGGTGGATCCGGTATTGCTCAGGATCTACAAATGCTCAACAACCAGGGTGCGGGTGGATCCGGTATTGCTCAAGATCTGCAAATGCTCAACAACCAGGCTATGAGCATGTCTAATACAGCTCAAGACCTACAGATGCTCAACAACCAGGGCGTGGGTGGGTCCGGTATTGCTCAAGATCTACAAATGATCAACAACCAGGGTGTGGGTGGATCCAGTATTGCTCAGGATCTACAAATGCTCAATAACCAAGGTATGGGCGGATCCGCTATTGGCCAGGATCTACAAATGCCCAAGAACCAGGGTGTGAGCTTATCTAATGCAGCTCAAGATCTACAAATGCTCAACAACCAGGGTGGAGGCTTATCTTATTCAGCTCCAGATCTACAAATGCTCAACAACCAGGGTGTGGGTGGATCCAGTATTGCTCAAGATCTACAGATGCTCAATAACCAAGGAATGGGCGGATCCGGTATTGCTCAGGACCTACAGATGCTCAACAACCAGGGTGTGGGTGGATCCGGTATTGCTCAGGATCTACAAATGCTCAACAACCAGGGTGTGGGTGGATCCAGTATTGGTCAGGATCTACAAATGCTCAATAACCAAGGAATGGGCGGATCCGGGATTGCTCAGGATCTACAGATGATTAACAACCAGGGTGTGGGTGGATCCGGTATTGCTCAGGATCTACAAATGCTCAACAACCAGGGTGTGGGTGGATCCGGTATTGCTCAGGATCTACAAATGCTCAACAACCAGGCTATGAGCATGTCTAATACAGCTCAGGACCTACGGATGCTCAACAACCAGGGTGTGGGTCGATCCAGTATTGCTCAGGATCTACAAATGCTCAATAACCAAGGAATGGGCGGATCCGGTATTGCTCAGGATCTACAGATGCTCAACAACCAGGGTGTGGGTGGATCCGGTATTGCTAGGGATCTACAAATGCTCAATAACCAAGGAATGGGTGGATCCAGTATTGCTCAGGATCTACAAATGCTCAATAACCAAGGAATGGGCGGATCCGCTATTGGCCAGGATCTACAAATGCCCAAGAACCAGGGTGTGAGCTTATCTAATGCAGCTCAAGATCTACAAATGCTCAACAACCAGGGTGTAGGCTTATCTTATTCAGCTCCAGATCTACAAATGCTCAACAACCAGGGTGTGAGCTTATCTAATACAGCTCAAGATCTACAAATGCTCAATAACCAGGGAATGGGTGCCTCAAATTCTGTTCAAGATCTACAAATGCTCAACAACCAACCTTTGAGCGTATCTAATGCAGCTCAAGATCTACAAATGCTCAACACCCAGGGCATTGTCGCCTCAAATGCTGTTCAAGATCTACAAATGCTCAACAACCAAGGCACGAGCTTATCTAATACAGCGCAAGATCTTCAAATGCTCAATAACCAAGGTATGGGCGGATCCGGTATTGCTCAAGATCTACAAATGCTCAATAACCAAGGTATGGGCGGATCCGGTATTGCTCAAGATCTACAAATGCTCAATAACCAAGGTATGGGCGGATCCGGTATTGCTCAAGATCTACAAATGCTCAATAACCAAGGAATGGGCGGATCCGGTATTGCTCAAGATCTACAAATGCTCAATAACCAAGGTATGGGCGGATCCAGTTTTGCTCAAGATCAACAAATGTTAGCTTCACCAGCATCTCTAGGCGGGAGCAGTTATCAAAATAGTAACCAGGCTATAACTGCCGTGAATAACATTCAAGGTCAACAAATGTTTAACAGTCAAGGTATGGGTGGATCCAACACTCCTCAAGATATCCAAATATTCAACTCACCAATGCAGCAAGGAGCTATCTCTTTCCAGGATCAACATTTGACAAATTCCAATAACATGCAATCATTCAACAGCCAGGATATGACATCTAACGCAATTCAAGATACCCAAATGTTTAACGCTGCAAGAGATATAGGAGGTACTAACGCTCAGAATTTAAATGCATTTAGCGGAATGAACTTTCAAGATAATACCGTGTTGAGTAGTCCGGCTACACAACGGAGAGTCTCTCTGCCCCTTCAGCAAGATCAAATACCAAGTTTGCAAAATGAATACGGACAGTCTGCCTTCAATGAACCAGCATATAGTACGCAGATTGGTCAAGGTACGGTTTTAACACTATCTATCAGAATGAAGTATATCTCCTGTAGTGCATATCTGTTCAACGAAGCATATTGTCCGTTTAAAGTAAAATATTTACATATTTAAATTTTGTATGACAGGAGTATTTCTATACGACGTATTGTTGGCACGGCCCCCACGACTCTTGATGCTGAAATGTCTTCACTGTGTCATTTTAACTATCCTTAATGAATAATTGAGAAGCACTTTCAGAAAGAGGCATCACATGTGGGTTACTAAATGTTGCTTAACTCATTCAAATATATCATAATGCACCTACATTTTGCATTGTGCAGGTTAAAGATTAAACTAAACAAATATCGTATTTTATATTTCACAGGCATTGGTTTCCCAGACATTGGTAAGCAGAAGCTGTAGCATTTTCGAGCGAGAGGCTCGGATCTCATTTCGTGTTCCTCATTTGTGTCAGCCTCGAACACATTTGGATACTTTAGTCGAGTCAGCCACTGTATGTGTCAACGATTCTGAGCCACAATGCATCGAGAGTAGCCCAATATTTAATCTGTAGGTTCATGGGCCCATAGATGAAAAGGGAAAATATTCATGATGTACACTTATATCAAACCTCCAATAGACAGAGGAATCACATCGGTAACCTATCACCATTACACAAATCGAGAGAACAGACCCTTTGTACAAGCAACTCAAGATTTATACCATGACAAAGTAACGCCATTGGTCTTCTGATTATTCGTGATACTGACTACAGGCAGTGGTTTTCACGTCAGTACAAACTACATGTAACGCTGTGACATTGGAGTAAACAACAGGGTGCCGTTGTACAAAACAACCTTAGCGCTAAGGCTACCTTAAGTCTATGTTAAGGTATAGGAGTTACGGTCACCTTAGCGCTAAGATCGCTTTGTACAACGGCACCCAGGTCACCTCATCGGCCTGACTATCATCAGAAGCTACATTAGTTACCATGGTGAAGGGATATAGTCGGGGTAGCAGACGAGCTTTATGCTTTGACAAACACGAAATGAAGAACTCATATTGCGCTAATATTAAAACAGCTGTTTGAGTGCAACCCATGCGCGTGTCACATAGGTTTGAATCTCATCAATGGTGATAATCACTGGCCTGTTAGAATGATATAGGCTCGTCGAAAGGTAAAGATATATCTTTGAAGCTTTTTTGCCAAACGCTTGATGCAGCATTTAACATACGATCGTTTATGCTTGCGACTACATTTCATAAAGATAACCTTCATTGCTTCTGACAAACAGCTATACTTCGCTTTTCAGCTTCACCATTAGACGCTACTTTAGCATTTGACACTAACTTTGGTAAGTGTACTTTGATACTAGTGATTTTCATTGATCGTAACCTGAAGTTATTCTGTCGTCATTCTTCATTCGAGATTCATTTGGTTAATCGTGTGGTCATTGTTTACGAAAAGGCCTCTATACTGTCTCACGATGCTCTGTTGTGAATGGAGAACAGTTCTCATTAATTAGCTGAAAGAGGCATTTCTGGGATGTGAAACGTATTATGTTGTGGTGTGAGAGAGAAGTGTTCATGTAACAACAAATCAAAACAATATCCGAATTTCTTGTAAAATGATGTATAAATTAATCATAGAGAGTGCACAGCTGTGGTGACCGTGTGCATGTGTGCAAGAAAATAGAACCTCGGTGTCATTTAGGAGAGATATTTGAAAGACGATTAATGAAATTGTTCCGTGTTCGTCGTTCACGATTCTGAAAGCTGAATAATGTAAAATGCCTTATTTCATGATTGTTAAAATCAGTTGATGGATGAGGAAGAAGTCTGGTATCACTTTTACGCTTGTTTAGTTACGAAAGATAAATAGCTTACAAGACCGCAGTTACTTTATATTTTCTGTTTCACAATGGTAGATTTTACGCGAGGGAGCCCTGGACAAGACAGATTATTAAGGATGCATGTATTTATGCAAACGACATTGAACACTTAACTTTGTTGCACTCTTCTAATTCTACATTTCTAGCTTAACAAAATGTAGGACCATCCAATTCTTACATGTTACATAAATATATCATGCAATGACACGTTAACTATTCATATGAGAAATGTCTGGTGGTCCCTATTGTTTAATAGTGGTATATGTTAAACTGTATTTGG